TTTCCACCGTATGTGAACGTCTGTTCTGTGTAAACTCACTCACCCAAACTTACAAACAGAAAGCAATATAGGCATAAAAACGAATTTAAAAGAATCAAAATATTTTTAATAAAATCAAACACGTTTCTTCAGTGTGAAAAAATGAAAACCGAGTACAGATATCCTGAGTTTATACCTTTGCTTATAGCCATATGCACGTTAAATTTAATTAATTCTAAATAGGTATTCTAATGGATAGTAGAGTCGTAACTTGTTTGTGTGCACGTTAAGGGTACGTTATTCTAATTCAAATGCTTAGTGTAGGCCCACATGTAATATCGTAACTTTGAACTTGTTATGTTCAGGATTCTTGCATTATGGAAGAATTCTTTTATTTTTAATTGATACTGTGTATGGTCGATTTACTTTATCTATTGCTACAATAGTCTTTGCATAGCGTTTTTATCTTTTCATTGGTGTGTTTAGATATTTGTCCAATAAATGTTAAATTAAATAACACATTTCATCGTCGTCGAACCTGCGACCTCTCGCCTTGACAGCGAGAGGCCGCAGGTTCGAGTCCCGCCAGAGGCATTTTATTACACAATTTCTTTATTCATTTATTTACAGGACTACTTTCGTTGAGAGCTATGCTACGATGTGTTATTATGTCCTTTATTCGAACACTGTACTTACCTTTCTTTGATGATTTATGTATATAATTTAACTGTTAACGACTATCTTGATTTATATACATATTAGTATATATAATATATATATATATATAGACTAATATGTATATATACTAGTTTATACTAGTATATAGTATATACTATATATATTAATATTAATAAATATACAAATAATACACTAACTAATACAAATAATATACTAACTAATATACTAATACTAATAGTATATATACACTAGTATGTATATTAGGCCTATAGTATGTATATTATATACTAGTATGTATATACTAGTGTATATATATATATATATATATATATATATATATATATTATAATTATAAGTCATTTATTTTGTTGGTTTGTCGGTATTTGTTTTCCTTCTCCAGTGTAAAATATACAGGTCGTACTTTTTGATTGTCGGATTGGGAATCATACGCGTAAGTCGCGCATTTCTTCATCGGGTTTACTGGAGTTGCATGCAGTGACGACGGATCTGTTGTGATTTGGAGCAAATGTGAAATATCGGGCTTGTAAGCAGTGCTTACCTTAACTTCTTCAAATGTTTCTGCTTTCTTTTTTCTTTTAACGCGTGTTCTCCGTCTTGAACGTTTACAACAATATACCAAGACAACGAGAAAACTTAATAATAAGGAGGCAACACCAATGTACAATTTTACCAAGATGGAATTGCTATTTCCTGTTTTCTTTCTAGTTTCCCTATTAAGAATAATTGTCAGTTCACCATGTCCTATTCCAACAGCATTTTCAACCTCACATATCAATACAAACCATTCTTTCATTCCACCATTGTTTGTCCAATTCAAATTACTGCTTGTGATGTTCAATATCTCACATTCTTCTTTTTGAACATTCGTTTCCTTTTCTGGGTAACGGCAAAGTTTCCACTGGTATGATGTAAACGGGGGATAAGATTCCACTTTACATTCGAACTGCGTGTTGTCGGCATTTCCATTAATCTTTACTTTAGGCGTTATCAGTGAAGGAGTAGAGCAGTTGACCGGATGTGACATCTTTGGATGATCTGCCACGCACCAGAATTGCCGTCCATCTAAACCTGCGACGTCTACTGCGTGACTTACATACACTCCGCGTGTAGCACTGGACTGTTCTTCAACGTGATAATAGACAGGAAGTGCTGGTGCAGTGCTATGGTTAGCAACATTTATTATTGTAATGTTGACTAAAACATTGTTGCCAATAAAAGCCTTGCAAGATATATTTACTTGAAGAATGTGTCCGGCAATCATCGTTATGTTGTTACGATCTGTACGTGACGTTGAGTTGGAAAGAGTCATGTCACATCTTACGAATGGGTTTTCGTCTAGACAATTACCCACTGTCAGCTCACCAATGTATTCGACAGCTGTATTTCCAACTTGACATTTGTAATGGCCTTCGTCTCGACGTTCGATATTCCTTATGCTTAGTTCATTGTACAGTTCTTTGTATTTTTTAATTGTTACACCGCTATCTAGAACTGTTTCGTCATCAAAATCAATTGGTTCATTTCGAAAAAACCATTTCATCTTGTGTTCAGCATTATCCGCGCTAGGTGAAGGAATGGTGCACTTGAAGTCAACATTAAAATCTTTTTCTAGAACACACATTTTTTGTGGTGCCATAGTGACTGTAATTACACCATCTATGTGACGTAAAGCACAAATATAAATAAGAAAAATTAATAGCATAATTAAAAGATTGTTCACTATATGCTTTAAAGAATACTCCTGCTTTTTTCTGCCAATGTATAATGATTATTTAATCTTCACGTTTTCTGTTTAAATTCTGGCTTTGTGAATTCACTCCACCTGTGTTTCCTACAAGGGAAAAAGCAATGAAAATACAATCAATAACAAATATGGAGTCATATTATTTTGTATTAAAACGTTTATTGTTACCATCAACGATTGCCATTGTAATTTATATTCAATGTTTGATATTTACGAGTGTACCGTACACAATGTCTACAGAGTTTTAGAGTATAAACAATTTTTTATCAATGTATAAAATTGACATGTTATATTTTGAAATTGTTTTTATTGCAAAAGTAAATAAAGAGATAGTCATGTTCTAGACAAGGTTCTTGCATTTTTAAAAATCTTTATACTCTGATATCGAACACAACAGAAAAAATACATAAGCATACCTTACTACCTGATAGATCTAGCGGCTCAGTTAACAGGTCGCAAATAACGTTGTTTCAAAATTGCTTACTAATGTAGGCCTGTACAGTATTTTTGCATGTGACTATGTTGGTTTTATTATCACTACTGATCACTTTTTATCAATCGCTTGTCTTGTTGCTGCCGCCACCAACTTTCAAAAGTGAGAGGGCGCATTTTATCCTATAAGTTTAATGAAACATTAAAGCATATAAGAACAGCAACGACAACGACAACAACAATTGATAGCGACAACAACAGCAACAAAAGCAACAATAGTAGCAACAATAATTATAATGAAACGTAATTGCATTGGTATTTTGTTATTAAAGACTAGTACATACTCCATATTTCCTAACGATGACCAATAGATGACTTACAGAGTAGAAATATTGAATCCCAGCTATATGGCGTGCATTTCATTTCTTGGATAATGTATTACTTATTCTTATCTGAAACTAATTACTATCACTTTAGCGATTATTGCAAAAAAACAAACAAAAAAACGAAAATGGTTTACAATAC